GGTCGGAGCCTCATAGGTTGAGTTTATATGATGTGGACTGAGAGTGGACACAACACCGTTCCTGTACGTCCACTACGGGCTCACCATAGCCAGTGCTACTTACCTCGCTCCTGTGCTAGGTACGTCCACTACGGGCTCACCATAGCCAGTGCTACTTACCTCGCTCCTGTGCCAGGTACGTCCACTACGGGCTCACCATAGCCAGTGCTACTTACCTCACTCCTGTGCCAGGTAAGTCCACTAAGGGCTCACCATAGCCAGTGCTACTTACCTCGCTCCTGTGCCAGGTAAGCTACGGGCTCACCATAGCCTGTGCTACTTGCCTCGCTCCTGTGCCAGGTAAGTCCACTTCGGGGTTCATGTTATAGCTAATAATGGGCATTGAACATTCGTTACATACTCAAGAACATTATGAACAGGCTCGCTCTGAACTGCCACACACACACGGGATTACTTGTTCTTAATTCGGCGTGACATTCTCAGGTTCTAAATTCTTTCCCACGCTTCCCGACTCCAGTTTCTCAACTATGCATTAATTGTTGCATCATAAATGCAAATTGATACGACTATAATCATTTTTATCTCGACCACACCTGACTGGACTAGTCCTTATCTCTACCACACCTGACTGGACTCCTTGATTCGACATAGCTTGCTTCCATTTCATACCCATTAATTTTTTTACATATAAGTTGATAAGTTACAACTTAATATTCACTCGATTCAGTTCAAAAATTCATTCTCCACTCTTCATAAAATATAACAAATAAATTATGATATATAATTATATAAAAATGTCACTCTTTTAGCCGAGCATTTCTCTATGTCGACATATACTAATATTAAAGTTTAGGAATTAGATTATTAATAAACAAATCTAATTTCTAGTGATTTGTTTATATATTTACGCTCTACTTATGTTGTAATAGTTCAGATATTGTAAATATTACACACCTGGAGTTATACACCTGAGAGTACGCTCATCGGAATACACATCTGGAAATGTATATAAATGGGACGACATAAAGAGGAAATACACACATGATAATACGCTCCTAAGACTACAAACTTGGGATTACACACCTGAGATTACACAGGTGTGTAATCCCTGCGTAATCAGATTGTATAGATATATATATGCGAACAAGCCTGAATGGTCCCCAGGACTATATGCAACTGAAAACTCACACCTCAGAAGTGACTCGAACCCATGCTGCCAAGAGCAACGCAACTGGTATGTACAGGATATATATATATATATATATATATATATATATATATATATATATATATATATATATATGTCGTACCTAATAGCCAGAACTCACTTTTTGGCCTACTATTCAAGGCTCGATTTGCCTAATAAGCCAAGTTTTCCTGAATTAATATATTTTTTCTAATTTTTTCTTATGAAATGATAAAGCTACCCATTTCATTATGTATGAGGTAAATTTTTTTTATTGGAGTTAAAATTAACGTAGATATATGACCGAACCTAACCAACCCTACCTAACCTAACCTAACCTATCTTTATAGGTTAGGTTTGGTTAGGTAGCCGAAAAAGTTAGGTTAGGTTAGGTTAGGTAGGTTAGGTAGTCGAAAAACAATTAATTCATGAAAACTTGGCTAATTAGGCAAATCGGGCCTTGCATAGTAGGCTGAGAAGTGCGTTCTGGCTACTAGGTACGACATATATATATATATATATATATATATATATATATATATATATATATATATATATATATATATATATATATATATATATATATATATATATATATATATATATATGTCGTACCTAGTAGCCAGAACGCACTTTTTGGACTACTATGCAAGGCCCGATTTGCCTAATAAGCCAAGTTTTCCTGAATTAATATGTTTTCTCTAATTTTTTTCTTATGAAATGATAAAGCTACCCATTTTATTATGTATGAGGGAAATTTTTTTTTATTGGAGTTAAAATTAACGTAGATATATGACCGAACCTAACCAACCCTACCTAACCTAACCTAACCTATCTTTATAGGTTAGGTTAGGTTAGGTAGGTTAGGTAGTCGAAAAAACATTAACTCATGAAAACTAGGCTTATTAGGCAAATCGGGCCTTGCATAGTAGGCTGAGAAGTGCGTTCTGGCTACTAGGTACGACATATATATATATATATATATATATATATATATATATATATATATATATATATATATATATATATATATATATTTGTGTCTGAGTTAACTACTGTGTACAGCCCTGAACAAGGAACACACATTCATCTCTAACAAGACTAAGCAATTACCACACACTGACCTGTCAGTCTCACATAAGATCACTACAACAAGCCGTTCCCGTCACCAGCTTGAGCTGGACCTTCACCACCAACAACCCATTGCACCATTGCACCATACAATCATTTTAGAACAGTATATCCAGCTTATTGCAGAGCGTATATATACGTTGCTATTGACCAAGATAGTGAGGGGGTAAGCTGCTTCCTGTGGTACCCCCTTACCGCAGCGTTTCTGCTTCAATGTCAGCAGAAGTAGGTGTATACAGATAGCAGATAGATGTGAATTGTGAGCAGATAGATGTGATTATGTGGTCACAGTTTTGTAAGCAGTGACATTGGGGGCAGTGTAGTGACCAGTGACGACACTGCTTGGTTATCATCCTCAACACTTCCTTTCCTGTCTCATATTCCTTTCTCATCTCTCTCTCTCTCTCTCTCTCTCTCTCTCTCTCTCTCTCTCTCTCTCTCTCTCTCTCTCTCTCTCTCTCTCTCTCTCTCTCTCTCTCTGTTGCTTCACTTTGTATCTCTTCTCTTCCACACAACATTTGCCCACTTCTCTGCACATTCTCCCTGCCCATTTTAGCTCACCTTGACTGTTGCCACCCTTCATATTACCCTCCTGATGCCCCTCTCTACCCTCCCCCTCCACCTCCCCCCCCTCCCCCCCCCCCCCACCCCCTAGCCAACTCCCCCTCCCCCTCCCCCCTCCGTCTCCTTGAGCAAGGCGCGGAGCTTCAGATAGTTCCCTGTTCTTAACTCTCCATATATGAGAGGTGCTCCAGGCTGTCTCTGTGTCATGTTCACCTCTGAGCGGTGTCATGTGTTCTGTGACACATTGTTCTTCTATGCCTCTCTTGTTGTCATGTTCTGCGACACCTTGTTCTTCTATGCCTCTCTTGTTGTTATGTTCTGTAACACCTTGTTCTTCTATGCCTCTCTTGGTGTCATGTTCTGCGACACCTTGTTCTTCTATGCCTCTCTTGTTGTTATGTTCTGTAACACCTTGTTCTTCTATGCCTCTCTTGTCATCATTCTGTTCTTCTCCCACTCTTGTTGAGACCTTGTTCTACTCCCACACGTTGTCACTCTGTTCTCCTCTTTTGTGTTCTTTAGCTGCATTGTTCTCTATTATTCTTTATCTCCTTTACTCTTCCTCTCTACTGTTATCCCCTCTATGTTCTCTGCGTGTTCATCTCCCTTCCGGATTTTTGTGATGTTCTTAATCACTGATGCTTAATTTATTTATTGATCTCTTTTGTTCTGCTCTACTCTCTCTCTCTCCCTGCTGTAATCCCCTTGTTTGCTCTCTCTGTTGTAATCCCCTTGTGTTTTATCTCTGTTGTAATCCCCTTGTCTGTTCTCTCTGCTGTAATCCCCTTGTCTGTTCTCTCTGTTGTAACCCTCTTGTCTGTTCTCCCTATTCTAATCCCCTTGTCTGTTCTCCCTGCTGTAATCCTCTTGTCTCTCCTTTCTGTTGTAATCCCATTGTCTGTTCTGTTGTAATCCCCTTGTCTGTTCTCTCTGATGTAATCCCTTATCTGTTCTCCCTTCTGTAATCCCCTTGTCACCACCAGCCACGTCAATAATACTCTGGGACGGTATTATCCTGTGACGGTATTATCCTGGGACGGTATTATCCTGGGACGGGACTTGGCCTCACCCTAGTCCGTATCGCCCGAGACAGGCGTCGTAGACGGGATAAAATTCTTAGGAAAGAGCCTATTACATTTGCGTTATGCTGTCTACAGTGGTAGATTCACTGCCTACAGTGGTAGACTCTGTCTACAGTGGTAGACTCTGTCTACAGTGGTAGACTCTCTGTCTACAGTGGTAGACTCTCTGTCTACAGTGGTAGACTCTGTCTACAGTGGTAGACTCTCTGTCTACAGTGGTAGACTCTGTCTACAGTGGTAGACTGTGAGTCTACCCGAGGGCTTAATTGGTAGGTGAGTAAGCTAGCCAGTTAGGCCTCTCACCTGTAGAGGGACCTGGTCACTAGAGCCTCTCACCTGTAGAGGGACCTGGACACTAGAAGAACCTCTCACCTGTAGAGGGACCTGGACACTAGAGGAACCTCTCACCTGTAGAGGGACCTGGACACTAGAGGAACCTCTCACCTGTAGAGGGACCTGGACACTAGAGGAACCTCTCACCTGTAGAGGGACCTGGACAATAGAGGAACCTCTCACCTGTAGAGGGACCTGGACACTAGAGGAACCTCTCACCTGTAGAGGGACCTGGACACTAGAGGAACCTCTCACCTGTAGAGGGACCTGGACACTAGAGGAACCTCTCACCTGTAGAGGGACCTGGGCACCAGGGAACCTCTCACCTGTAGAGGGACGTGGTCACTAGAGGAACCTCTAACCTGTAGAGGGACCTGGACACTAGAGGAACCTCTCACCTGTAGAGGGACCTGGACACTAGAGGAACCTCTCACCTGTAGAGGGACCTGGACACTAGAGGAACCTCTCACCTGTAGAGGGACCTGGACACTAGAGGAACCTCTCACCTGTAGAGGGACCTGGACACTAGAGGAACCTCTCACCTGTAGAGGGACCTGGACACCAGGGAACCTCTCACCTGTAGAGGGACGTGGTCACTAGAGGAACCTCTAACCTGTAGAGGGACCTGGACACTAGAGGAACCTCTCACCTGTAGAGGGACCTGGACACTAGAGGAACCTCTCACCTGTAGAGGGACCTGGACACTAGAGGAACCTCTCACCTGTAGAGGAAAACAAACACGTATTACATTATGATATAAACTCCTGAATTTGTTTTATTTCAAGAAAGAAAACGTGAGTATAAACATTCTTTAATAAAAATATTACAAAACAGAAAGAAAAAAATAAAAATTAAATAATAATAATAATTATATATACATATATTATATTATATATAATCTTGTCGCAAAATGATTTTCTCATATACGGTACAATCTTAAGAGCCTCTCTTGATATCATTTACTCATCACATAATGCCTCTCTTGATATCATTTACTCATCACATAATGCCTCTCTTGATATCATTTACTCATCACATAATGCCTCTCTTGATATCATTTACTCATCACATAATGCCTCTCTTGATATCATTTACTCATCACATAATGCCTCTCTTGATATCATTTACTCATCACATAATGCCTCTCTTGATATCATTTACTCATCACATAATGCCTCTCTTGATATCATTTACTCATCACATAATGCCTCTCTTGATATCATTTACTCATCACATAATGCCTCTCTTGATATCATTTACTCATCACATAATGCCTCTCTTGATATCATTTACTCATCACACAATGCCTCTCTTGATATCATTTACTCATCACATAATGCCTCTCTTGATATCATTTACACATCACATAATGCCTCTCTTGATAACATTTACTCATCACATAATGCCTCTCTTGATATCATTTACTCATCACACAATGCCTCTCTTGATATCATTTACTCATCACATAATGCCTCTCTTGATATCGTTTACTCATCACATAATGCCTCTCTTGATATCTTTACTCATCAGATAATGCATCTCTTGATATCTTTACTCATCACATAATGCTTCTCTTGATATCGTTTACTCATCACATAATGCTTATCTTGATATCGTTTCCTCATCACATAATACCTCTCTTGATATCTTTACTCATCACATAATGCCTCTCTTGATATCGTTTACTCATCACATAATGCCTCTCTTGATATCTTTACTCATCACATAATGCTTCTCTTGATATCGTTTACTCATCACATAATGCTTATCTTGATATCGTTTCCTCATCACATAATACCTCTCTTGATATCTTTACTCATCACATAATGCCTCTCTTGATATCGTTTACTCATCACATAATGCCTCTCTTGATATCGTTTCCTCATCACATAATGCCTCTCTTGATATCGGTTCCTCATCACATAATGCCTCTCTTGATGTCGTTTACTCATCACATAATGCCTCTCTTGATGTCGTTTCCTCATCACATAATGCCTCTCTTGATATCGTTTCCTCATCACATAATGCCTCTCTTGATATCGTTTCCTCATCACATAATGCCTCTCTTGATATCGTTTCCTCATCACATAATGCCTCTCTTGATATCGTTTACTCACCACATAATACCTCTCTTAATATCGTTTACTCATCACATAATGCCTCTCTTCATATCGGTTCATCACATAATGCCTCTCTTGATATCGGTTCCTCATCACATAATGCCTCTCTTGATATCGTTTCCTCATCACATAATGCCTCTCTTGATATCGCTTGCTCATCACATAATGCCTCTCTTGATATCGTTTCCTCATCACATAATGCCTCTCTTGATATCACATAACGCCTCTCTTGATATCGTTTACTCATCACATAATGCCTCTCTTGATATCGTTTACTCATCACATAATGCCTCTCTTGATATCGCTTACTCATCACATAATGCCTCTCTTGATATCGTTTACTCATCACATAATGCCTCTCTTGATATCGCTTACTCATCACATAATGCCTCTCTTGATATCGTTTACTCATCACATAATGCCTCTCTTGATATCGTTTCCTCATCACATAATGCCTCTCTTGATATCGCTTACTCATCACATAATGCCTCTCTTGATATCGTTTCCTCATCACATAATGCCTCTCTTGATATCGTTTACTCATCACATAATGCCTCTCTTGATATCGTTTACTCATCACATAATGCCTCTCTTGATATCGTTTCCTCATCACATAATGCCTCTCTTGATATCGGTTCCTCATCACATAATGCCTCTCTTGATATCGTTTCCTCATCACATAATGCCTCTCTTGATATCATTTCCTCATCACATAATGCCTCTCTTGATATCGCTTACTCATCACATAATGCCTCTCTTGATATCGTTTCCTCATCACATAATGCCTCTCTTGCTATCGTTTACTCATCACATAATGCCTCTCTTGATATCGTTTCCTCATCACATAATGCCTCTCTTGATATCGGTTCCTCATCACATAATGCCTCTCTTGATATCGTTTACTCATCACATAATGCCTCTCTTGATATCGTTTCCTCATCACATAATGCCTCTCTTGATATCGCTTACTCATCACATAATGCCTCTCTTGATATCGTTTACTCATCACATAATGCCTCTCTTGATATCGCTTACTCATCACATAATGCCTCTCTTGATATCGTTTACTCATCACATAATGCCTCTCTTGATATCGTTTCCTCATCACATAATGCCTCTCTTGATATCGCTTACTCATCACATAATGCCTCTCTTGATATCGTTTACTCATCACATAATGCCTCTCTTGATATCGCTTACTCATCACATAATGCCTCTCTTGATATCGTTTACTCATCACATAATGCCTCTCTTGATATCGTTTACTCATCACATAATGCCTCTCTTGATATCGCTTACTCATCACATAATGCCTCTCTTGATATCGCTTACTCATCACATAATGCCTCTCTTGATATCGTTTCCTCATCACATAATGCCTCTCTTGATATCGCTTACTCATCACATAATGCCTCTCTTGATATCGCTTACTCATCACATAATGCCTCTCTTGATATCGCTTACTCATCACATAATGCCTCTCTTGATATCGCTTACTCATCACATAATGCCTCTCTTGATATCGTTTAGTCATCACATAATGCCTCTCTTGATATCGCTTACTCATCACATAATGCCTCTCTTGATATCGTTTACTCATCACATAATGCCTCTCTTGATATCGTTTCCTCATCACATAATGCCTCTCTTGATATCGTTTACTCATCACATAATGCCTCTCTTGATATCGCTCACTCATCACATAATGCCTCTCTTGATATCGCTTACTCATCACATAATGCCTCTCTTGATATCGTTTACTCATCACACAATGCCTCTCTTGATATCGCTTACTCATCACATAATGCCTCTCTTGATATCGCTTACTCATCACATAATGCCTCTCTTGATATCGTTTAGTCATCACATAATGCCTCTCTTGATATCGCTTACTCATCACATAATGCCTCTCTTGATATCGTTTACTCATCACATAATGCCTCTCTTGATATCGTTTCCTCATCACATAATGCCTCTCTTGATATCGCTTACTCATCACATAATGCCTCTCTTGATATCGTTTCCTCATCACATAATGCCTCTCTTGATATCGTTTCCTCATCACATAATGCCTCTCTTGATATCGCTTACTCATCACATAATGCCTCTCTTGATATCGTTTAGTCATCACATAATGCCTCTCTTGATATCGCTTACTCATCACATAATGCCTCTCTTGATATCGTTTAGTCATCACATAATGCCTCTCTTGATATCGCTTACTCATCACATAATGCCTCTCTTGATATCGTTTACTCATCACATAATGCCTCTCTTGATATCGTTTCCTCATCACATAATGCCTCTCTTGATATCGCTTACTCATCACATAATGCCTCTCCCCTGACCATTAATTACACCAGGCGCCATCTCTTGGCCACGGCGGATCATCCCTCAAATTAATTTAATTCATAAGGCCTCCAAATATATTATTTTATCAGGTGTTGTGTGGCAGCGACGCGGGGCGCACCTGAGTGGGCTATTGACCCGTCGTGGGGGATTTTTTTTATTAACCGGATTACTTGGTACTGTTTGATTTTGATGGGATTAAAAGGTAATATTGTTGCTATCGTGGGATTTATCTATTGTGGTGAATGTTTATGGTAATAGATGGTGGTGTATGTCTTGATATAATGTGTATACAGTTGTCTGGGGATAATTTTGATTTTTTTTTTACCACCATCCTTTCAAGATCGTAATTACTAGCGTTACTTCACCACTACCACCACTACCACTACTACCACTACCACCACTACCACTACTACCAGCACAAACAACAACATCAACAACAAGAACTGAGGCATCCACCTCTATATTAATTCTCAAATTCCTCACACTGTACAGAGAGGTTTTAAGCCCGGCGCCGAGGAGATTGGCAGATTAGAATTTTAATTAAGTGTGCGCCTGGTACCTTAGGTATGACCCCCCACCCCCCTTGTCTCTCTCACCTTGTCTCTCTCATCTTGTCTCTCTTACCTCTCTCACCTGGTACCTTAGGTATGACCCCCCCCCCCTTGTCTCTCTCACCTTGTCTCTCTCATCTTGTCTCTCTTACCTCTCTCACCCTGTCTCTCTCATCTCTCTCTCACCTTGTCTCTCTCACCTCTCTCACCCTGTGTCTCTCATCTCTCTCTCCTGTCTCTCTCATCTCTCTCGCACCTCTCTCACCCTGTCTCTCTCATCTCTCTCGCACTTCTCTCACCCTGTCTCTCTCATCTCTCTCTCCTGTCTCTCTCATCTCTCTCTCACCTCTCTCACCCTGTCTCTCTCATCTCTCTCTCTCACCTCTCTCACCCTGTCTCTCTCATCTCTCTCTCTCACCTCTCTCACCCTGTCTCTCTCACCTCCCTACACTCTGCCACCCTGCGTCTTCTCTGTTAATTTCTCACTCGTTTTACAGAGCGTGACCTCCCCCCCCCAGTGTGAAGGAAGGGAACTATGAGGAGAAAGCGCCAAGCCATCACGGCTATATAGCATTGGGAAGGAGGAGTCAGGATAAGGATTTGTGGTGGGATGAAGGAATTGTGCCCAACCACTTGTACGGTCGGGGATTGAACGCGGACCTGCATGACGCGAGACCGTCGCTCTACCGTCCAGGCCA